GTGATCCACCCGCCTCGGCCTCCCAAAGTGCTGGGATTACAGGCTTGAGCCACCGCGCCCGGCCTCTTTTTTTTTCTTTTAAAGACAGCCTCTAAATGACTAATTAAGTGTTTATTATTATTTTTTAATATGAAAGTATATCACTTAGGAATCAGGGCAAGCCCAAAGAATTAAGGAAAACTTTCTTGAAGAACTGATCTTCGCCAGGTGCCGTGGCTCACACCTGTAATCCCAGCACTTTGGGAGGCTGAGGTAGGTGAATCACGAGGTCAGGAGTTTGAGACCAACCTGGCCAACATAGTGAAACCCCATCTCTACTAAAAATACAAAAAATTAGCTGGGTGTGGTGGCAGATGCCTGTAATCCTAGCTACTTCGGAGACTGAGGCAGGAGAATCTCTTGAACCTGGGAGGCAGAGAGTGCAGTAAGCCCAGATTGTGCCATTGCACTTTAGCCGGGGCGACAGATCTTTAAACCAAGCTCTGAAGGATGGCAGGAGGCAGGAAGGGTGGGCAGGCAGTGCAGAGCATTTCATGGAGAGCTGCAGGGAAAGGTGGTGACATGTTTGAAGAACCAAAACAAGCTGCTTGTGGCTTAAACACAGAGTTGGAAAGATGCGTTCAGAGGTGAGGCTGTGGGGAACAGGGGCCTGATTGTTCAGGCACTGTTGTTCTCTGTTAACTATTTTTTTTCTCCATCATAAAGGCAGTGGGACCAGACAGAGAGAATTCCTGTGAGCTACCTATATATCTAGAATAATAGAAAATGTGTAATCATTACTACAGACATGTCATTTGTTATACAATTTCATTTTGCTGTGATTTTTTTCCCCTGAGGCTATGTTTAAAATGCACAGATAAACCATTGTTGTCACATTTCCGTATAGGAGTAAAATGGAAGGAGAATCAAGCAGATTTGAAGTCCACACTCCAGTTTTTGACAAGAAAAAGAAAAAATATTCTGTACATAAGGAAAGACCTCAGAAACATTCCCACGAAATTTTCAGAGACTCCTCTCTGGTGAATGAACAGTCTCAAATAACTAGGAGGAAAAAGAGGAAAAAAGATTGCCAGCATCTCATTTCTTCTCCTTTGAAAAAGTCCAGAGTCTGTGATGAGACTGAAAATGCCACTTCTACACTCAAAAAGAGAAAAAAGAGAAGATACAGTGCTTTGGAGGTAGACGAGGAAGCAGGTGTTAGAGTTGTCCTTGTGGATAAAGAAAATATAAACAACACACCAGAGTGTTGTAGAGAGGGTGTTGGTGTCGTTTGTGTTGACACGAGCATGGAACAGAAGTCAGCAAGAGAGCCAAAAACAGACAAACTTCATGGACTTGCTAAGTCACATACACGTAAATCAGAAGCACTGCACGATAAAGTTAGCGAGAAAAACAATACAAAGCATCGGAGGAAAGCTACGTCCTGTGATGCTCTAAAGGAAAGCCAGCAGGCAAGGGACACCCTGCCTCAGTCAGAATCCCACCGGGAGGAGTCCTGGCCTTCTAGGGGTCCAGGGGATAACATTACAGAACTACCAGCATCTGCTCATAAAAGCAAGTCTAAGAGAAAGAAGAAGAAAAAGTCCAATAACCAAGAATATGAGACATGGGCCATCCCCAAAGGATCGCAAGCGGGCAGCGAGGCTGGGAGTAATGTGTGGGAATCCCGGCCTACCGTGGGCCTGGGTGGTGAACCTGCAGAACTGCTAGCACCTGCTCACCAAAGAAAGTCTAAGAAAAAAAAGAAGAAAAAGTCCACTCACCAGGAATTGGAGGCATTGGACGTGCCTGAAAAATTGCAAGCGGGCAGCAAGGCTGAGAGTGATGTGTGGGAATCCCGGCCTACCATGGGCCTGGGTGGTGAACCTGCAGAATTGCTAGCACCTGCTCACAAAAAAAAGTCTAAGAAAAAAAAGAAGAAGAAGTCCACTCACCAGGAATTGGAGGCATTGGCCGTGCCTGAAGAATCGCAAGCGGGCAGTGAGGCTGGGACTGATCCACAGGAGTACCAGCCTGCTGCAGACCCACATGGTGAAACTGCAGAAGTGCCAGCACCTGCTTATAAAAACAAATCTAAGAAGAAAAAGAAAAAGTACAGTAACCCAGAATTGAAGGCATTGGCCACGCCTGAGAGCCTTGAGAGGGCATACTCTGAAGGATCACAAGTGGGCAGTGAGGTTGGGACTGTGGAAGGCAGGAGGGCACTGAAAGGGATCAAAGAATCCAGCAGTACAAAGAAGAAGTCTAAGAAAAGGAAGCTTATGTCTGTCAAAGGGGCCGTAGTGTCTGGCGATGATTTTCCAGTGACCAGTAAGAAATCTGCGAGCACGCTCTTTGATTCAGTAGAAGGCAGTGGCACTATAATTGAAGAAAGTATGAATCCCAGGCCCCAACCAAAGAAAACCCAGGCCTATTCAGAAAAGAGGCGTGTGCAAGAGGTGCCAAGGTAACGTGGGAATGGTATTCCAGCTGTTGGTGTATGTCTCTTGTATGGATTCTGCCCATTCCTCTTTATTTAGCATATACATATTAAATGGCAGAAATCATCAAGAGGTAGACCCTCAATGTACAGAATATCATACATCTTTAATTGAGTAAACTGGGCAGGTAGTTTAATTTCTTCATGTATGAAATAAAGCAGTTAGAGCCGGACGCGGTGGCTCAAGCCTGTAATCCCAGCACTTTGGGAGGCCGAGGCGGGTGGATCTCGAGGTCAAGAGATCGAGACCATCCTGGTCAACATGGTGAAACCCCGTCTCTACTAAAAATACAAAAAATTAGCTGGGCATGGTGGTGCGTGCCTGTAATCCCAGCTACTCGGGAGGCTGAGGCAGGAGAATTGCCTGAACCCAGGAGGCGGAGGTTGTGGTGAGCCGAGATCGCGCCATTGCACTCCAGCCTGGGTAACGTGAGTGAAACTCCGTCTCAAAAAAAAATAAAATAAAATAAAAAATAAAGCAGTTAGATTCAATTTTCACTAAGAACGATTCCAGCCCTGAAAATCTATGAGTAAATTTAAATGAAAAATAGTGTGAGTGGATATGGGGCTTAGGGCTGCATGTTTAACTTCTGTGCTGCCTCTGAAGTATATCTAAGTAATTCAAGTTCCAGTAAAGAGTTTGAAAATCACGGACTGGGTCAACCCCAGGATCTCATCTTGCTTTAATATTCTAGTAGTCTAAGTGAAAGCCATTTTAAGAAAAGTTTAAAGTTGGGTGTGGTGGCTCACGCCTATAATCCCAACACTTTGGGAGGCTGAGATGGGTGGGTCACTTGAGGCCAGGAGTTTGAGACCAGCCTGCCCAATCTGGCAAAACCCTGTCTCTACTAAAAATACAAAAATTAGCCAGGCATGGTTGCGTGCATCTGTAGTCCCAGCTACTCAGGAGGCTGAGGCAGGAGAATCGCTTGAACCCAGGAGGCAAACTTTGCAATGAGCTGAGATTGCACCACTGCACTCCAGCCTGGGCGACAGAGAGAGACTCTGTCTCAAAAAAAAAAAAAAAAAAAAAAAAAACAGAAAAGTTTAAAAGCTATGAGATCAAGTGATGTGTTAATGTTAGTCAACCCAATTTTCCTACTTAGGTTAGAACCTGCAAATGAAGAACACAATGTGGAATCAGCTGAAGATCCCGAAACAAGATCTTTATCTGAAGATTTAGGAGATGCTGATGATTCAGATGCAGATTTGGGTTCTGCCGTGAGACAGCTTCAGGAGTTCATCCCTAACATCAAGGACAGGGCCACCAGCACGATCAGGCGGATGTACCGGGACGACCTGGACCGGTTTAAGGAATTTAAAGCACAAGGTGAGCTTGTGGAGCCTTAGTGTTTGTTGAACTTCCTGTATGCATAGCTAGCACCTGACTTTCTTTTATGGATGATTTGGATTTATAGATCAACAAGAAGCATCCTGTCACTGCCTTCAGCTCTGTCTCCTACCAGAACTGTCCGAGCTGGAGAATTAGCAAAATGAAGTGGGCTGCTTTTCCTCTTCCTGCGCAGTTTCTAGTAAAGGGACCAGATAATTAATTCACAGCAAGAAGAGAAGGGGTGAACGGTTAATTGGTTAAGACACTAGAAAGGATACAACAGTTAATACAACATTAAAATGCTGTTAAATTAAAATCATCAACTTTAATTAGGTATCGTTTCTTTCTCAAAGATATTAAATTGATGGTCACCCATTTGCGGTGGACTTGATCTCCTTCTTGATTTCACTGTGTTTCTGAACCTCCTTTATTAAGAATTATTAAGGATAATAAATAACCTTTATTACTCTTAAATCCAATCATAAAGCTTATTGGATTTCAGAATAAACTGCAGGCCGGGCGCAGTGGCTCATGCCTGTAATCCCAGCACTTTGGGAGGGTGGGGCAGGTGGATCACTTGAGGCCAGGAGTTCAAGACCAGCCTGACCAACATGGTGAAACCCTGTCTTATAAAAAAAATAAATAAATAAGAGAATAAACTGCAAATGTAAGACTGTGTACTACAAATGAGCAATATTTACTGAGTATCTGATGTGTGAAACCCAATACCATTGGTCATTGAAAAAAGTAAAAAGAGGAATCCTAGCCTTCCTGAATCAATGAGATTGGAGCGATTCAAAAAAATAGACAAGACAAATTAAGCAAAAAAAGATGTACTACACATGTGCACACAATTATAGAGTAGTATATAATCCCATTTTACTGATGTATTGTGTTGAAATTTGTATGAGTATGTATTTTGTAAAAGGTGTTTTTAAAGTAAACCTAGGCTAGGCGAGGTGGCTCGCACCTGTAATCTCAGCACTTTGGGAGGCCAACCCAGAATTGCTTGAGGCCCAGAGTTTAAGACTAGCCTGGGCAACACAGCAAGACCCCATCTTACAAAAAAATAAAAAATTAGCCAGGTGTAGTGGCACACACCTGTGGTCCCAGCTACTCAGGAGGCTGAGGCAGGGGAATTGCTTGAGCCTAGGAGTTCAAGTTTGCAGTGAACTTGATCATGCCATTGCACTCCAGCCTGGGTGAAAAAGCAAGACCTTATCTCTAAAGAATGTACAAATCCGTTGGAAAACTGTTTTTAAAAAAGATTGATGACACAGTCTGACCAAGAAATAGGTCCCTTTGGAATAGGATGACCAGGGAAGACATTGAAGAAGAGGCGTGGCTTGTGCTGAACCCTGAAGGAAAGGCTAATCTGCACGTGGGGCCAGGAGAGCAAGTGTCAGGTGTTGGGACTGTTGGGCCATGGTACTCCCATTGCTGGTGAAAAACTAAGTCATCGGTTTGCTTTTGTTTGTTATTAACAATACACACTCTCTCCCTGCTCCCTCCCGATCCTAGGTGTTGCTATTAAATTTGGGAAGTTTTCTGTCAAGGAAAATAAGCAGTTAGAGAAAAATGTGCAAGACTTTCTAGCCCTGACAGGAATTGAGAGCGCTGACAAGCTGCTGTACACAGACAGATACCCAGAGGAAAAATCTGTGATCACCAACTTAAAAAGGAGACACTCATTTAGATTGCACATTGGTAAGTTTAGAAACGATCACTCTTTGACCATCCACGGCCTTCCAGCCATAAACAAGAGAACGCAGGGTAATGCTAGCATAGGTACCTGGGACATTGCCTGCATGCAGCACACATTAACTGCTGTGATGGCTGATGGTATTCTTATGGCCAGTCTATACTTTTGGGGATTTGGAATGTGTTCATGTCTCCTAAGTACAGTGTGAAAAATTTAATGATCAGCCGGGTGCAGTGGCTCATGCCTGTAATCTCAGCACTTTGGGAGTGCGGCGGGCGGGGGTGGGGGTGGAGTGGATCATGAGGTCAGGAGTTCGAGACCAGCCTGGCCAATATGGTGAAACCCCATCTCTACTGAAAATACAAAAATTAGCTGGGTGTGATGGCAGGCGCCTGTAATCCCAGCTACTCAGGAGGCTGAGGCAGGAGAATCACTTGAACCCAGAGACGGAGGTTGCAGTGAGCCAAGATTGTGCTATTGCATTCCAGCCTGGGCGACAGAGCAAGACTCCGTCTCAAAAAAAAAAAAGCCAGGTGCGGTGGCCGACACCTGTAATCCCAGCACTTTGGGAAGCTAAGGCAGGCAGATCACCTGAGATTGGGAGTTTGAGATCAGTCTGACCAACATGGAGAAACCCCATCTCTATTAAAAATACAAAATTAGCCGGGTGTGGTGGTACATGCCAGTAATCCCAGCTACTCAGGAGGCTGAGGCAAGAGAATCACTTGAACCTAGGTGGTAGAGGTTGCAGTGAGCCAAGATCACGCCACTGCACTCCAGCCTGGGCAACAGAGTGAAACTCCATCTCAAAAAAAAAAAAAAAAAAAGATCAACTTTCACCTTTCTTCCTTGACAATAGTTCCAGTTTTGGTTTCTCCTCCTGTTCCTTACTGAAATTTTATGTGCGCTACACAAAGCACATCCTTATCTGCACCCTGGTCTCCCATGTTTTTTAAGTGTGGCCATATGTGTGCTTTGTAGCTGGAGCCCTCGGACTGGAGGTGCTGCTTGTGAAGTTAGAAGGTCACGCAGTCATATAGGATCAGAATGAAAGAAAATCTCTCTTGAATTTAAAGAGGATCATTTCTTAGATGTTCCGTGGAATGCATGAAGAAAAACAGACTAGTGCACCCCTGTTGAGGGATGATTTCACCTTAGAGTGAGAAAGGCTGATTTGGGAAAGATGGTCGTTCATCTTCTGGAGAACTGTTAGCCTGTATTCTCCACCTTAGTGTTCTCTTCCTCTTAATTCAAATTATGTTTAAATTACTTTGCCTCATAAGGATTCTTCCCACAAATTGCATAGACCGGAAGCTGGAGCCTTAAGGTACTAAACATTTTGTTTTCAGAGCTCTCCAAGGAAACCGGTGACTGTGTCTATGTGTTCTTCAAGACAGCTTTCTTCAGGACATAGGAAATCCCAGCCTTAACACAGGCTTAGGATAGTGCACGTTGCTATAAGGGCTGTTCTGGGCTCCTTTTACAATTGCTACTTCATTTCACGTGAGCCCCTCTGATCACCTTTCTTCCGACTTTAGGTAGGAACATTGCCCGGCCCTGGAAACTTATATACTATCGAGCAAAGAAGATGTTCGATGTCAACAATTACAAAGGCAGGTAAGAAAAAACTCTCAGCAGCTTGAGACTGAACATTTCTCTAGTCTTTGCTGATCCATAAATCAAAATACTCACAGCAGTGGATTAGAAATGAAAATCATGAAGATTTGTATGTGTGAAGCCAGATGGTGTCTTCGTTGTCAAATGTGTGTCTTCAAGGCCCTTTTTCATTCCCACCTCTTTAGCGAAGCCTGAGTGACCTCCCACCTCCTGCATCTGCAGCTTTCTCTATGCGTTTTCTTTAGCACGCCCCACTCTGCCTCGTGTGCTGTTACTCCTGTTTTCTCTGCTCTCCACTACGTCAGAAGCTCCTTGCTTCTGACAAACATCCCTGCTCAACAGATATTCCCTTCAGCACTTAGCACAGTGCTGTGGGTTTTAACTATCCAAAGGTGGAGGTAAGTGCTGGGATTAGGTCCCTTAAGTGCAGTTCAGTGGTATCAACCCAGAGTGCTTAACTCGGTTGTTATTCTCTCTTCCCTTTTCCCCAGATACAATACCAACTATAATTTGTTTCCAACATTCCGCATTTAAAAACAAACAAACCTAGATCAAGTGTTTGGGTCAGCACTCTGCTCAAGGACAGAGGACGAAGCAGGCAGCTGTTAGCTCTGCTTCGGAAAACTACCTTCTACTCAACTACTTGACCTCTCCAAGAGGCGAGTTTCGTAAATCTCCTGGCAATGGCAGTTGAGTTCTGCTTAGCTCTGATTTTAAACCAAGACATAGGTCATTACCTAAACTTCCAAATTGATAAGACCTCAGTTTCCTTTTGAAAATTTTTACTGAAAGAAATCAGCCTTAGGTGAGGAAAGTTCTCACACAGACTGGGGCCTGCCCTGCCTGCTTTGCCCGAACCCCAAGGTTAGACGGTTGTGAATAGAACTTTAAGAAAATCCACTAAAGGTGACATTTTAAATGGAACTTACAAGAATGCTTTTGGCAAGTTAATGGTGGCAGCTGAGGTAATGTATTTCCACCTGCGACACACAGAGAGGAATGAAATTTTTAGAGTAATTTTTAGAGTCATTCTATAACAGTTCATCTACTTGTGCTGTATTATTTGTGCTGTAGTGATCATTCCCCCTTAGAATATTTTTATAAGTTAAGCAACTTCTGACTAAAAAAAAAGTAGAAAGTGAAAAATCGAAGAATTATTATTTTATTTTATTTTATTTTTTTTGAGACAGGGTCTCACGCTGTCACCCAGGCTGGAGTGCAGTGGTACAATCTTGGCTCACTGCAGTCTCCACCTCCTGAATTCAAGTGATTCTCCTGCCTCAGCCTCCCGAGAGGCTAGTACTATAGGCATGTGCCACCACTCCTGGCTAATTTTTGTATTTTTAGTGGAGACAGGGCTTCACCATGTTGGCCAGGCTGGTCTCAAATTCTTGACCTCAAGTAATCCACCCACCTTGGCCTCCCAAAATACTGGGATTACAGGCTTGAGGCCCCACACCTGGCTGATAGCCATGATTCTTAATAATGAAGAATAGCCCAAGCACAGTGGCTCACACTTGTAATCCCAGCACTTTGGGAGGCTAAGGTGGGTGGATCACTGGATTAGGAGTTTGAGACCAGCCTGGGCAGATCACTTGAGGTCAGGAGTTTGAGACTAGTCTGGCCAACATGGTGAAACATTATCTCTACTAAAAATCACAAAAGTTAGCCGGGCATGGTGGTGCATGCTTGTAATCCCAGCTACTTGGGAGGCTGAGGCAGGAAGATTGCTTGAACCCGGGAGGCAGAGGTTAGAGTGAACCGAGATCATGCCACTGCACTCCAGCCTGGGCAACACAGCAAGACTCTGTCTCAAAAAAGAAAATAGTGAAGAATAACCAGTTTCTATTCACCATACACTTCATTTACAGACAAATGTCTGAAAACTCTACAATGTTATTGTTTATTTTTGGCTGGGTGCAGTGGCTCATGCCTGTAATCCCAGCACTTTGATAGGCCAAGGTGGGCAGATCACTGGATTAGGAGTTTGCCCAGCCTGGGCAACATGGATTTACAAAAAATACAAAAATTAGCCTGGTATGGTGGCATGCATCTGTAGTCTCATCTACTTGGGAGGCTGAGGTGGGAGGATCACTTGAGCCCAGGAGGTTGCAGTGAGTCATGATCACGCTACTGTGCCCCAGCCTGGGTGACAGAGCCAGACCCTGTCTCAAAGAAAAAAAAAAAGGAAAAAAGAAATTGTTAGCATTTTCCTAGGACTTCTTTTGTGTTGCCTCAGTGATGATGTAAACCACATTCCTATTCAGATAGGAATCTTAAGATGTTATAAAGATTGCTTTTTCTTTACTTAAATATTTGGGTGTTTAATCTCAAAATCTATTTATAATATTATAGTGCTTTTTTTTTTAGTACTTTAATGTATGAATTTTTATGTAGGACTAATGCACTTTAAATTTCTTAAGTAGTTACATATTGAGAGCAAGCCATTTGTTGCATGTTTATGGAATGTCTATTGTCCGTCAAGCATTGTGGATACCATAGTATACAAAACCGACAATGTCTCTGCCTTCATGGAACTTACCTTCTAGAGCTGTGTCTGCCCATATGGTGACCAGCAGCCTTCTGGGCCTGTCAAATATTTGAAATGTAGTTAGTCCACACTGAGGTGTGCTGTCAGAGTAAAATGCATGCTGGGTTTTGAAGGCTCAAGATCAAGAACCGAATGTAAAATATATCATTGATATTTTTTGATACTGCTGACACATTGAAATGACAGCATTTTTAATATATTGAGTTCAATTAAATACATATTTCTTTTTTTTTTTTTTTTTTTTTTTTTTTTTTTTTTTTTTTTTTTTTTTTTTTTTTT